ACTGGGTATGCTGTGCAACTGTTAAGGAGGTGATAACCATAGATGAGTGATGAAAGCAGTTTTTTAGGTATAAGATTGGGTAGAAAAACAAGGTGTACTATTGCACACATGGAATGGTCACAGCTATATGACAACTATCTATGAATACCTTAAAAATAGGTTAATACAGGGCTGGGTGCAGTGGCTCACGCCTGTAATCATAACACTTTGGGAGGCCAAGGCAGGCAGCTCACCTGAGGTTAGGAGTTCCAGACCAGCCTTGCCAACATGGCGAAACTCCATCTCTACCAAAAATAGAAAAAAAAAAAAAAAGGCCGGGCAGGGTGGTGCACGCCTGCAGTCCCAGCTACTTGGGAGGCTGAGGCAGAAGTGCTTGAACCTGGAAGATGGAGGCTGCAGTGAGCTGAGATCGTGCCACTGCACTCCAGCCTGGGCAACAGAGGGTAATACAGTCACAAGGGTAACAAAGTGGACAGGTATAGACCATGAAAAAGAGATCTTTTCTTCAGCCACTCCCCAGAGGCAGCTACCTTCATAAATCTGGTCATTAATTTTAAGTTACAAGAAAACAGACTAAAATGTTAATGGTGTTTATAGTGTATTTTTCTGTTTCGGGGGCAGAGGGAGGGAGGGAGATCTACGTTTCTGTAAAGTAGTTGCCTTTAATGAGTCAAATATTACTTTAAAAAGAAAAAAACATTAGTCCATCAGAAATGTGTACTTAAGAAAAAGGAAAGTGAGTTCACACAAATTAGTAAGAAAAAGCATGAAGACAAAAAAGCTAAAGGGCCTAGGTTATACATAAAGAAGTTTTTAAAACTTATTTGGAGAAAAATGCATAATAATGCAAACATGGATTAATTATTGTTAATAATAATCACTTTTTGGGTTTATCAAATAGGTAAAGATTTTTTGGTGGTTGTTTAAGTGAATACATACCCAGTGCTGGCAAAGTTATTTAAAGGGAGTATTTACTTGGCTCCAGGGCGACAAAGGCAGTTCTTTACACCTACAAAAACTGCTTAGCGTGTCTTGTTTGCCTTGGGTGCTGTGCTGAGAAAGATCCCAACCCTGTCCTCAGGTTCACTGGAACCAGAGAGTGGATAACTGGTTAACGACGCCTGCCAGGGACTCGAGAGGGAGGATGGTTTACCACCTATTTCATACCTCTGGCCTTCCCTATGCTGAGGGCTACAAATGGCAGGGCCCCTCCAGAAACAAATTCAGCAGGATCTTTCAAGGGCCTTAGAAATGTTCATCACATGCCATCTAGTAAAACAACTTTTTGGAAATAGATTCTAAAAAGAACTGTAAATACAGTACTTTATGCTTTGTTAATCAGAGTTTTATACAAAGTTATTAAAAACTGTCACAAAATCAGAAAAGAACTTTAAACTTGTAATGTTATTTTTAAAAACCTACACATAGAAAAAATTATTTGTAGAAAAAATACTAAAATATGATTAAAATGTCGTTGCATTTTGATGTGTTAACTGTGGTTTACAACTCTAGTTTATCGCTGCTAATAAAACGTTTTTAAAAATAAATTTTAGGCCAGGTGCAGTGGCTCACGCCTGGAATCCCAGCACTTTGGGAGGCTGAGGCAGGCACATCATGAGGTCAGGAGTTTGAGACCAGCCTGACCAACATGGTGAAACCCCGTCTCTACTGCAAATACAAAAATTAGCTGGGCGTGCTGGCACACACCTATAATCCCAGCTACTCAGGAGGCTGAGGCAGGAGAATCACTTGAACCCAGGAGGCGGAGGCTGCAGTGAGCTGAGATCATACCACTGCACTCCAGCCTGGATAACAGAGCAAGACTCCATCTCAAAAATAAAATAAATTAAAATTAAAATTACATTAAATTTAATTTAATTTAAAATATTCCCTAATTGCAGCTACTCGTTACTGAGTGCCTTCTAAATACCAGGCACTATTAGGCTGTTTTCTATAGATGAACTCTAGGCCTTTCAATGGTTCTCCCAGGGGAGGATCCCCATTTCCTAAGAAAACGAGATATAATCAGCCTCTAAGGAGGACCCTGAGATTTGACCTCAGCTCTCCCTGGCTCCAAAACCCACCCTCTCTCTTCTCTGCCAAGGGTCTCTTCTACCTGTGAAATAACTACCTCCCTGGACTTGTACTAGTTGCGTACCCAGAACGACTAGGAAGTTTATTAGCCTTCTCTGTTTTGCAAAATTTTCTTTAATATGCTTAATATTATTTGTATAGTGAGGAAACAATACCTAATAAAACTATGTTAAAAATCAGAGTTCAAACAAAAGACTTCAATTAATCTGTGGCTCTTTCCAGACCTGACTTAAATCCTGTTATATCCTAATATGGGATCATCATGCAAATTCTTCAAGGAGAAGAGGGTTGTGGAGGAGAGGTAAGTGGTTTATAGTCCTTCCCTAGAGAAAAAAATCAATACAACTTTTAAACCCTGCTAGGATGAGGCTAGGAGTGTTTCTAAAACCTTCAAGATACACACATTTTGGCTCAGAAATTCCACTGCTGAGAATTTCCTCTTAGGAAACAAGACCAGATGCAAAGACATTAGAGCAAATCAATAAGGAAAAATGCCAAAACCCCAAAACTCAAGGGCTACAGGGGTGGAAGCGTAACTATAGCAGCAACGTGTATATAAGATAAACTGACCAGGCACAGTGGCTCACGTCGGTAATTCCAGCACTTTGGGAGGCCGAGGCGGACGGATCATGAAGTCAGGAGATCGAGACCATCCTGGCTAACACGGTGAAACCCCATCTCTACTAAAAAATACAAAAAAATTAGCCGGGCGTGGTGGCGGGCGCCTGTAGTCCCAGCTACTCGGGAGGCTGAGGCAGGAGAATAGTGTGAACCCAGGAGGTGGAGCTTGCAGTGAGCCAAGATTGCACCATTGCACTCCAGCCTGGGCGACAGAGCGAGACTCCATCTCAAAAAGAAAAAAAAAGAGAGAAATTATACGCAACCCTGGTTTCCAACCCTGAGAGGCCAGATGAAATAAATGAGGACACATCCATGCAACCAAGTACTGAAAGGAAACTTAGGAATGTATATCTGCATATGGACAGATGTTCACAATATATGAGAATGAAAATGATAGCCCTCAAAACAGTGTTTATGGTAGTGTATTTCATTTCATAAAAATAAAACTTTTTTTGTTTTGAGACAGAGTCTCGCTCTGTTGTCCAGGCTGGAGTGCAATGGTGCGATCTCAGCTCAATGTAACCTCTGCCTCTCAGGTTCAAGCGATTCTCGTGGTTCAGCCTCCCAAGTAGCTGGGACTATAGGCGAGTGCCACCACGCCCGACTATTTTTTCGTATTTTTAGTAGAGACGGGGTTTCATCATTTTGGCCAGGCTGGTCTCAAACTCCTGATCTCAGGTGATCTGCCCGCCTTGGGCTCCCAAAGTTCCAGGATTACAGCCATCAGCCACCATGCCCAGCCTAAAAATATAACTTTTAAAAGCTATACAGAGATGTATGTGTAAGAAAAAATGGGCACAAACTTTTAGCAGCAAGTATATCTGGGAGGGGGAAATAGAAATACTCAAAGAAAAAACAAACATAATTTCTAGTGTTCTTCTGGGAATTTATATTACTTGCATCACCACTAAAAACCTTAAAACGTGAGTGCTTCTAAATTTATAGGCGTGAGCCACCATGCCCGGCCTACAGTATGAATATACTGAACATTACTGAACTGTATGCTTAAAAACGGTTAAGACACTAAGCTTTGTGTGGTTTTTACCACAATGAAATATAAGAATTTTTAAATGAGTTCTTCTAAATTTAAAAATGTAAACATGAAGAGGAATGTCTAAACTGTTTGACGTATCAGGAACTGGGTAGGAACAGGAGGGAAATTCTGTATTAACCTCAGGGTCACACAGGCCTTAACAACGTGAGAGGGGATTGCTTTAGATTAACAGACTTAAGAGCTCAGACGACCAAACGCGATCTGGGGGGCACGTTTAGATCCAGATTGAAACAAGCTGACTGTCCAAGGACATCTTGGGGGATAATCAGGGAAGTCTAGTTATGGTGTGAGTAAAACCCTTTGTCTGAGGTGATTTAAAAATTTCCTTTTTAAGTAGAGGTACTGAAGTTTAAAAAACATAAATGAGTCCATTAAAAATATGTTAAGTAAATAACAGTTCAAGCAGAATGTAGATTTAGCAAAAACGGCAACAGGAGAAGTGAAATAAAAGACTGATCAGGCTATGAGCCTTCTGACCGTGGGGAGAGAAGTGGATTTCATGAGAGAGTGAATGAGGTAGAAACTACCTTAAAGACATGACAGGGTTTTCCTGGAGGTGAAGGGAGAAAAATTATGGAAGATGTAGAAAGAAAGTGGTTCCTGAAAAGGGTGGGAGCTAATTGAAAAGGCACAGGAGCCAACTTGAAAGAACTCCCAATGGCCAAAGCTACAGCCATTTGAACAACAAAATAAATGACAGTGCTGAATTACAGCCCATAGAATACATATCCATGAATCCATTCTGATATAAAGAAACGAGGGCGGCCAGGTGCGGGGGCTCACGCCTGTAATCCCAGCACTTTGGGAGGCCGAGGTGGGCAGATCACGAGGTCAGGAGATCGAGACCATCCTGGCTAACACAGTGAAACTCCGTCTCTACTAAAAATACAAAAAATTAGCTGGGCATGGTGGTGGGCGCCTGTAGTCCCAGCTACCTGGGAGGCTGAGGCAGGAGAATGGCGTGAACCCGGGAGGCGGAGCTTGCAGTAAGCCGAGATTGCACCACTGCACTCCAGCAGCCTGGATGACAGAGCGAGACTCAGTCTCAAAAAAAAAAAAAAGGAAATGAGGGCAATCCTCCCTCACGATGAATAACACTGAAAAAGGTAAAATCTATTAGCTATTTTCCTATGCAACAAAAATATTCTTTGTAAGCTTTTCACCTGTATGACATCTGAGGAATCCCCTCTTGGAAAAAGGTTTTCCTACATCCTTGCAATATTTTTTTTTAACCACACTTTGATGAATTCTCAAGTTGTTAAAAAGGTGTCGGGGCTAGTGAAAGGCCTTCTCACATTCAGAACACTCTTTCTAGGATGAAGCCAAAAATGTTGAGAAACGTGTGTGCTGTGACTGAAGGTTTCTCAACAGTGATTGGACGCAACAGTTTTCTCTTGAGAATGGAACTGATAATGTTGAGTGAGGTATGAAGGTCGGCCGAAACATTTCCCACACAGCCGACACTGGTAAGGCCTCTCTTGAGTGTGAGTCCTATAATGCTGAATGAGATGTGAATTCCGACTGAAGACTTTGCCACAGTCACAACACTGGCAGGCTCTCTCTCCAACGTAGTCATGTTTCCGCTGATAACGAATTAAGTATGTCTTGCTGGGGGGCAACCCAGGAGAAAGGACTCTTGCTGCCTCATGGGCTTTGAGATGTTGAAGAAGATGCACATTCTGGAGAAAAGCTTTGCCGCACTGAAAACATTCATAGTAGTCCTCCTGACTATGAATTCTTACACGTTCACAGAGATTCGCACACTGGATGGAAGGCTTTCTACCTTCGTTGTAGCCAGAAGGCTTCCTACCAGAATGGGTCTTCTGATGTCTGTTGAGGTGTGGCATGAGATAGAAGGCTTTACCACACTGTTTACATTCATAGGGTTTCTTCCCAGTATGGATCTGTTTGTGTCTCCCAAGGGCTACTTGAGTACTAAAGGTTCGTTTGCAAAATTCACATCTGTTGTGTTTGTTATCTTGGGAAGCTGACTGGGGACTTGTACATATGCCAGGAGCAGTGTCCTCCTGGGGATCCTTTCCTAGAGGATCCTCGGATTGTTCACTAAGAGTAGAGCTTCTCTCAAATTCATCACTGCCACAGCTTCTTTCCTGAGTGAGGGTCTTGGGGTCATTCATTTTTATAGGACTCAAAAGTTTCTCTTGGTTGCCCTGGTGTGGTTCCAATGGATTGTCATGAGCCTCTCCTGCAGAGACATGCCAGAAGTTACCTACTGCTAAATTATCCTTTCCTGCCCCCCAGTAATGACATTTCTATAGGCAGGCTTTGCCCTGGAGTTAGTGCTTTGGTTTCAGGTCTCTTTTCCTAATCTAAAAAAAAAAAAGTAAAAATTCCTCTATTCTTTTTACTCAGAGAGACATACGAATATAATAGAAATAAAGAGACCAAGGGTAACAAACAGATCTCATGGAGGTTGAGAGAGTTTTCTGAAAACCTAAAGAGAAAATGGGAAAAGGACAGAAAGGACAGTAAGTGGCCAGGCACAGTGGCTGACACCTGTAATCCCAGCACCTTGGGAGGCTGAGGCAGGCGGATCACAAGGTCAAGAGATTGAGATCATCCTGGCCGACATGGTGAAACCCCGCCTCTACTAAAAATACAAAAAATTAGCTGGGCGTGGTGGCGCGCGCCTGTAGTCCCAGCTGCTCAGGAGGCTGAGGTAGGAGAATCGCTTGAACCCGGGATTCACCCGGGTTCACCCGAGATCGTACCACAGCACTGCAGCCTGGACGACAGAGTGAGACTCTGTCTCAAAAAAGAAAAAAAGAAAGAAAGAAAAAGAAAAGACAGTAAGCAAGGAAGAGTGAGGAAGAAGCAGAAAAAATATCATCCAGGAGGATGGCGTGTCAAAAAGATGCCACAAATGTACAGAGTTAGAATGAGCAGAAGTCAGAGAAAGAGCTGGGGTTGGGGTTCGCCAGCATTTTCCAAACCATGTTTGGCAGATCGCTAATATTCTGAAAAACAAATAGCTGTTACCATGAAGGGGGTTCCACTGTCAAGTTAATTTGGGAAATGTTGTATGACACAAATCAAGAAATCAAGCAGATTTCATTCCTGTAGGATTCAGAACTTTTAATATGCACCTCGAACCCCAAAAAGGGAAGGTACAGAATGTGGCATTTCTTAAACTGATCTTGCCATGAAACATTTTTTTTTAGAATATCTATTACTGTGGTTCTTCAGGACTACTGAGGAGACACTGGAGTAAACAGGTCAACAACCTCTTGTTCAGAATTAAATAAAGATTCTCCTTTCTTAGCTCCAAATCTCTTGTTTTACCCCAATCTACACTGCCAACCAATTCCCTTTAATTCAATATTTATTAAATGCCTGTTTAGTGCAAGGCATTATCTAACCAGATGGGTCAGAGGTCTGTAAAAGGGACTCTAATCGGACTATAAATGACGACAGGAGCAGAGATGGGGGAACTGACTCCACTTAGGAACAGGACATGATTAGTGGAGGGGACAGCATTTGGCCTCAGCAAACGGGGAAGGGGGGCGAGTTTATATAAAACAGCCTGAGCTAAGCTATAGAACTGTGAAAGTATACAGTCCTGGGGAGCTAGAAACAGGATTTTAGTTGCAAGATCTGTAGGAGATGAGGCTGGGATGCAAATTTCAGGCCAGACTGGGAGGAACTTCAGTGTTTTGCTGAAAGTTTGAATTTTATCTTGACGGAGGTAAGAAGCTGATAAAAAAGTCCATGCTTTATAAAGGCAACTCTCTGGTAGGAAAAATACTGAAGCCCAGGAAGTCAAGTATAAGACTGTGGTTTGGAAGAGAGGTGATGAACACAGTGGTTGCATCCTGGCAGACACTCAAAGTATGTGAACAGAGTACAGGTAAAACAGCAGAGCCAGAACACGGCTTAGGAAGTCATCAGGAAAAGAGGGATAGCTGGGCCCATCACAATGGATTGACTCTTTTGGGAAGTGGTCTTTGAAGAGAACACTCAAGAACGGAAGAGTAAGAGAACACCTAGTCCTCGCTGGCTCTTCTGTTTTCCTTACCCTGCTGTACATCCAATATTTCAGTATGTTCTGCCAGTTCTCCTTTCAGGGAATACCTCAAACCTGACCACTCTACAACCATAGCCTCAGCCTCCATCATCTTTAGCCTGGTGGACTTCAATGGCCTCTTGAATTGGTTTCTCTGGCTTTTCCTCTTAAAGCCCGTTCTCCGTAGGACAACCAGATGGATCTTTCTAGAATAGCACTGCCCAGTAGAACTCCCAGTGCTGATGGAAATGGTCTACACTTTTGCTGTCCAGCACAGTAGCCGTTAGTCACATGTGGCTATCAAATGTTTGCCATGTGGCTTGTGTGACTGAGGAACTAAATTTTAAATTTTATGTAATTCTTACTAGTGTAAATGTAAGTAGCCACATGTGCCTATTGTCTACCGCACTGGACAGTAAAGTTCTAAAATGTCAATAACACTATTTCATTTCCCTGCTCAAAACTTCCCACCATCTTTGCATCTCACTTATAACAAAATTCTTCAACATATTCCTAAGTGGGCTGGCCCCTGACTATCTCTGTGATCTCATCTTCTATCTTCCACTTAACTCAGACCATATTGCCCTTCTTCCTGTTTTTGGAACACCCACGCTCATTCCAATCTCAGGGTCCTCGCATTTGCTGTTCGCTCTGCCTGTAACAGTCTTCCTCAAGATTTCTACATGGTTCAGCTCCTCATCTCATTCAAGTCTTCCACACTGAGGTCTTCTCTGACTATTCCATCTTAAGCAACCTCCCATATCTCATTCTCTATCTGCTTTACATTCAGTTATTATTTGTCTATTTTTAAAAACTACTGCCTCCATTAGAATGCAAGCTCTATGAAGGAAAAGATTTGCCTGTCTTGTTCATTATTGTATCCACAGATGCTAGGACAGCACCTGGTCCACCACAGAAGCCTGATAAATATCTATGGGATGACTGAATGAATGAAGAAACCAGAGTAGGGAAAGAAGAGAAGACAATGAAAGAAACAGAGAGGAGTCTTCCTGGTAACTTCTTGCATTTTGTTTGGACATCCCTTTTCCACTCACACAGAAAAAGGTGGAGGAGGGCTGTGTCAATCAGCACTGTACTGGACACAGCTACTAGTTCAGGAAAGGGATACAACCCGATATGGAACAATGAAAAATCAGCAGAGCTGGAAAAGATGTTTCCTCTCTCTTGAGAATGCGTCTTGGACACACCAGCTCTTTCTTGCTCCTTCTTTGCACATGAACAACAACAACAACAAAAATGCATCTAGGATTTATTGTCAGAGTTGAAGGCAGAGTAGAAGGAGAAAATGAAACTAGGTCTTCGATGACTTCACTGGGTCCCTGAATACAGACCAGCTGATCAGTAGTATAGGCTAATAATCCCTCTATGACTTTAGCCAGTTTGGGTGTGGGTTTTCTGTTAACTGCAACTGAAGGACAACAGTGATCCCAGCTGATGCACATAGTGACCCAATTCAAAGAAGGGGATTTCATGAAGATGGTAAGTGTTATTAGACTGTAGCCATAGAGTTTCGAGGACGTGAAGTCTATGGTTCCAGAACCATAAGGATGCTAGTGGGAACCTTTTGTGGAACTTTCAGAAAAGAGCGTATACGTGTGTCTATGTTGGCAGAAGTAGGGGGATGGAAACCAGAGGGCCGGGGTTAAGAAGAAAAGGGAAGGGAGCCTCTGGGTATCAACAAGTCTGAGGAGCTGATGTGAGGGAAAGTGGAGGGCAGTGAGAAAGACAAGTGGTATCAGGCCAGTTTTTTGTTTGTCTCAGTTAAAGAGGAAAGATCTATATTTTCTAGCTGCAAGGAGAAAGGCATAAGTGAATGGAAGGGCTGGAACACAAGAGTAAAAGGACACTGGCCACCCTGGAACTGAGCAGGACAGGAACTGACGTTGCAGGAAGAGATGAGCTCCAGAAAGGAGATGAAGGGGAGTAGTGAGGAGAAAGAGGCCCTGAGGTGAGAGCACCTACCAGCCCAGGGGGCTTTGAGGAAAGCTCCCTGACTAGCATTTCCTGGTCCCTCCTCCTACACCCCTCACTACTCACCTTGACAAATCACTGTATGTCTGCTGTCTTTCTCCATTGCACGTGATTCCTCCGCTTCCAGGCGTGAGATAATGTCAGGTTTAGAAAACTGGTACCCTGTTGGAGAGGAAGATTCAGAACTCAGGGTTTCAGTAACTCCCAACCCGGGGTCCCAAAGACTCTGGGGTAATAAGGAAGGAATAAACTCTCGCAGGAGTGAAATGTAGCCTGTTTCCAGCCTACAGAAATTTTACCCCCAAGGGACATCTAGAATGTATGGAGATATCTTTGGTTGTCACAACTGTGGGAGCAGCGGGAGGGGTTCCTGGTGTCTAGTACGGCTGGAGGCAGGGACACGGCTCAACATTCTGCAAGACAGCTCCACAGCCCAGAACGATCTGGCCCCACGTCAAGAGCGCCAAGGTTGAACAACTCTGCTATGAAGACTGAAAAGGGGGCATGAGGGCAGTGTGCTGAGCTCTACACTTCAGCACCAAGAATCTGACATAGCTGCTCAAAAAGTCAACAGTTTGGTTCTTTTCCTTCCTGGGATAACGTCCACTGCCTCTTTGTCTTGAAGTGCTGCTCCTCCCCCTCCCTTAGTTCCTTGTTTCCCAAACTTCTATCATTTGCACACCAAATTATTATCTATTTGTCTACTGTCTGACTCTCTCTACTCAAACATAACATCCATGAGAATGGGAAATGTCATCTATTTGGTAACCCCAATGCCTATACCAGGCCTTGTACATCTGAATTCACTGACAAGTTAATGAATGACCCTTGCATTTTGGCATTTCTATGTGCCATTTATAGTCATATTCAGTATTTATTTAATGTTTTTCTTTAGATCACCTTTCTTGTTAACTTAAATACACTTATTTTATTTTTTATTTTTTATTTTTTTTGAGACAGTCTCGTTCTGTCACCCAGGCTAGAGTGCAGTGGCGCAATCTCGGCTCACTGCAGCTTCTGCCTCCCAGGTTCAAGTGATTCTTCTGCCTCAGCCTCTCCAGTAGCTGGGACTACCCGGCTAATTTTTCATATTTTTAGTACAGATGAGGTTTCACCATGTTGGCCAGGCTGGTCTTGAACTCCTAACCTCAAATGAACTGCCCGCCTCTGCCTCCCAAAGTGCTGGGATTACAGGCATGAGCCACTGCACCTGGCCAATATGCTTATTTTCAATGGAAGCTTTATATCAACCCTATAAATGGAAACCAATGTCACTCACCCACACGCACAAAAAATGGAAGGTAACATCATGGTAAATATAACAGAAACTAAGGTTATTGAGTGCTAGCTAGCTTCTGTTGCCTATCTGACACTCAGGGTTTGATGTCTGCTCTCTCTTTGCTAAAATGGAAGAATAATAAGATAGAGAGACACGCTAACAAACTGATATTCTCTACTTGATAGAGTCAGAAGGCTTAAAAGAAAATTAGAAGAACTTTTTTCTCACCAACAGATTGAAGGATTATGTCATGCTGTCCATGTACTGCCTAAAATAATCTTCTATTTAGCTCACTGTACTCATTCCATACTTAGGAAGACAATGTCCCAGGTGACATATAAGATTGCTATTAACACGAAACCTTTAGTGTTAAAGAAGCCAAGGGCTCATAAGATAGAAATGCCTCCAGGTCACTGCATAAGAGCTGGAAAGATAAAATTAATTTATTTCCTCTATTTTGATACTATTCCCCCTCTATTTTAAGTCATAAAATGTGGTAAGCTAGAGAAGAGTATAAAATATGCTGGAAAATGTACTTCCTGGTAACCGATAAGAACCAGAGTTAAACGTATGCATCCCTGTGCTAGGTTTGAGGTAGGATGTGTGTGTTTTCCCACTAGGTCTCTGACTTCACCAGGTTACTGCCAGTGGAACAGCATTTGTTTCGGATTCTGTTTTTCAGGAGACCTCAAGCCCCCAAAAAAGCCACTGAAAAAGGATGTTGGCACCGGCAACATAAACTTTTCACTTTTCACTTTCAACTTTACCTGTGAGAACAGGTAAGACAATTTTGCCTCTGCATGTACAGAGAGATTGGCAACCTCTGATTGTTAAAACTCAAGCCAGTAGAAGTCTTTGGAGCTCCTGGAAGTTTTAGCAATTCCTTCGCTCATTCAATAAACATCATTTAGAGCCTTCCATTGTGCTGAGAACTGGTGGAGCAAACCCCTGTCAGGTAGCACATCAGAGTTTAAGAGAGCAGATTCTGGAGTCTGCTTGGGGTTAAATCCCAGCTTTCGACAAGTAATTTAACCTTCCAATGACTCAGTTTCCTCAACGTTAAAAATGTCGATAATAACAACAACGATAGGCATACCTCCCCCTCATAGGACTAGTGTGGGGATTCAAGGAGTCGGAATATGTAAAACACTTACACAAGTGCCTGACACATATGTAGTGCTCAAGAAATGTTAGCTATTTTATAATTCACAGTGAATTTGATATTCAAATATTAAAATATTGCCTCTGACCTGGGTTGAGACTCACTGACATACTGAACCGCCATTACTGATGAGAGGACACAAAGGAGTTGAGAGCCACTGCCCTAGTGGGAAGAAACCAAGTCCTGTGGAGAAGGCATACTTACCCAGGGAGACCAGGTTCCGGTAATTCTCCAGCATCACCTCCCTGTAGAGGTTTCTCTGAGCAGCACTAAGGGAGCTTAATTCCTCCGGGCTGAAGTCCACAAACACATCCTCAAACGTCACCAACTCCTCAAACACCAGAAATGCTCCTAAGTGTCTGAAGTCCAGGAACTATCCCAGAGACAGGAGAAGGAATGTGATGAGAGGACTGAACATGAGGCAGGCATTCAGACCAGCAGAGAGCTTCCGCGTGCTCTAATGCAGAGCCACAGGCACCTGGCATTGCATCTTGCTTTGTCTTAGAGTCTGAGAGAAGTGGGAACATTACTGAAACAGTTCCTGTTGCTAATTACTACAGATTTGGGTTGAGGGGGAAATAGCCTTTTAAGCCACTTTATAAAGATAGAATGCAAGCATGCAAATACTTAAAAGCTCAGCAGTATACCTCAGCCTCAGGAATCAGAGTCCTGGCTCTGGTTCTTTGTGAGTTTGGGTAGGTTAAGCCTCAGGGTACCACCTGTAAAACAAAGTGCTCATAACATGAAGAAATATTCAATCTTGCTAATAAACAAGGAGATGAAAATCAAAATGACAAAATACCATTTTGTACCCATTCGATTAAGTATTGGGTAAAAATTAAGTAACTGAGTAAAAATTAAGAAGTGGGACAATACCAAGTATTATATAAAACATGGATCCACTGGAGATGCTAAGGGAAATGTAAATTGGAAAACCATTTTTGATCCAGAAATTATTTTTTTAATTTTTAAAAATTTTTGTGGGTACATAGTACTTGTATATACTTCTGGGGTGCATGAGGTGCTTTGATACAGGCAGGCAATGTGGAATAAGCACATCCTGGGGAATGGGGTATCCATCCCCTCAGGCATTTATCCTTTGAGTTACAAACAATCCAGTTACACTCTTTAAGTTATTTTAAAATGTACAATTAAGTTATTATTGACTATAGACTCCCTACTGTGTTATCAATAGTAGGTCTTATTCATTCTTTCTACTTTTTTTTTGTACTCATTAGCCATCTCCACCTCCCTCCAGCCCCCCAACGACCCTTCCCAGCCTCTGATAACCACCCTTCTCATCTCTATTTGACCCCAAAATTCTATTCCTAGGTATATTTGCTCATGTGTACTTAAAGACATGGATGGGTAGGTATGTTTATAATAGCATGTTTGGAACATCCAAAATCTGGAAATAACCCAAACATTCATTAACAGTAGAAGAGATAAATATGGTATAGCCATACAATGAAATAGTATTCTAGCAATAGAAATCAATTAACTGGCCGGGTGCGGTGGCTCAAGCCTGTAATCCCAGCACTTTGGGAGGCTGAGGTGGGCGGATCACAAGGTCAGGAGATGGAGACCCTCCTGGCCAACATGGTGAAACCCATCTCTACTAAAAATACAAAAAATTAGCTGGGCGTGGTGCCTGTAGTCCCAGCTACTCAGGAGGCTGAGGCAGGAGAATGGCATGAACCCGGGAGGTGGAGCTTGCAGTGAGCCGAGATCACACCACTGCGCTCCAGCCTGGGTGACAGAGCAAGACTCTGACTCCAAAAAAAAAAAAAAGAAAGAAATCAATTAATTACAGTTATATATAAGAATCTTGGTAGCCTAAGGTTGAATTTAAAAGGCAGATACCATATATCCAAAGGAAAATAAGCCATCCTACCAAAAAGACACATGCACTCGTATGTTCATCACAGCGCCGTTCACAGAAGCAGAGACATGGAATCAACCCAAGTGCCCATCTACAGTGGACTGGATAAAGAAAATGAGGTGTGTACACACCATTGAATGCTATGCAGCCAAAAAAAGAACAAAATCATGTCGTCTGCAGCAACACAGACGAAACTGGAAACCATTATCCTAAGCGAACTATCGCAGAAACAGAAAACCAAATACCATGTGTTCTCACTTATTAGTGGGAGCTAAACACTGGGTTCGCATGGTCATTAAAATGGGACAACAGGCAGAAGACAGGTGATTTCTGCATTTCCAACTGAGGTACCGGGTTCATCTCACTGGGGCTTGTCGGACAGTGGGTGCAGGACAGTGGGTGCAGCACACCGAGCGTGAGCCGAAGCAGGGCGAGGCATCATGGGAATGCAGGGGGTCAGGGAATTCCCTTTCCTAGACAAGCAAAGCTGTGACAGATGGCACCTGGAAAATTGGGTCACTCCCACCCTAATACTGCGCTTTTCCAATGGTCTTAGCAAACGGCACACCAGGAGATTATATCCTGCGCCTGGCTCAGAGGGTCCCATGCCCATGGAGCCTCGCTCATTCCTAGCACAGCAGTCTGAGATCAAACTGCAAGGCGGCAGTGAGGCTGGGGAGGGGTGCCTGCCATTGCTGAGGCTTGAGTAGGTAAACAAAGCAGCCTGGAAGCTCGAACTGGGTGGAGCCCACCACAGCTCAAGGAGGTCTGCCTGCCTCTGTAGAGTCCACCTATGCAGGCAGGGCATAGTCAAACAAAAGGCAGCAGAAACCTCTGCAGACTTGAATGTCCCTGTCTGACAGCTTTGAAGAGAGTAGTGGTTTTCCCAGCACAGAGTCTGAAATCTGAGAACGGACAGACTGCCTCCTCAAGTGGGTCCCTGACCCCCGAGTTGCCTAACTGGGAGACACCTCCTAGTAGGGGCCAACTGACACCTCATACAGCAAGGTGCTCCTCTGAGACTAAGCTTCCAGAGGAAGGATCAGGTAGCAATATCTGCTGTTCTACAATATTTGCTGTTCTGCAGCCTCCGCTGGTGATACCCAGGCAAACAGGGTCTGGAGTGGACCTCCAGCAAACTCCAACAGACCTGCAGCTGAGGGTCCTGACTGTTAGAAGGAAAATTAACAAACAGAAAGGACATCCACACCAAAACCCCATCTGTACGTCACCATCATCAAAGACCAAAGGTAGATAAAACCACAAAGATGGGGAAAAAACAGAGCAGAAAAGCTGAAAATTCTAAAAATCAGAGTGCCTCTCCCCTCCAAAGGAATGCAGCTCCTTGCCAGCAACGGGACAAAGCTGAATGGAGAATGACTTTGACGAGTTGAGAGAAGAAGGCTTCAGATGATCAAACTTCTCTGAGCTAAAGGATGAAGTTCGAACCCATTGCAAAGAAGCTTAAAATCTTGAAAAAAGATTAGACGAACGGCTAACTAGAATAACCAGTGTAGAGAAGTCCTTAAATGGCCTGATGGAGCTGAAAACCATGGCATGAGAACTACGTGACGAACGCACAAGCTTCAGTAGCCGATTCGATCAACTGGAAGAAAGGGTATCAGTGATTGAA